GAGTCGTCCTCGCTATAGCGATGAAAATACGTATCTAATATTGACTGAGTACGAGGTCAGTATAGGAAATAAAAGCCGAGTAAAAGACCGAGGCGAAGCCGAGGTCTTTTACGAGGTCTTTTATTTCCTATACTGACCAAGTACGAAGTCAATATTAGATTTATCACGACAAACAGTCCGTATTTCAAATTCCAGAACGATAACCTCATGAATCCCGGTTTTATGATTGCACAACCGTTGCACCACCACCTACTCATGCAGTGACAATGCTGCACTAGGCACCGTTCAACTGCGCAACCCCTAAGCAGTCAAATATAAGCAGTCAATATAGCCCTAAGGAGTGAAATATGCAGGAATATTTGACTGCTTAGGTATGGCAAAAATCTATGCGAGTCAATACTAAGGGAGTGATAATACTAGTTACTGCGCACCCGGCAGATATCACAACACGTCGGAGCGTCCAGGAGCAAAGGAATCTTGGGTTTTCACCGGAATCTAGTTCCTCCAGCATCGTGTAGCCCACCGTCGGTGAATGGCTGTTGAGAAAGGTTGAACCTGGTCTTCTGCAGCATCTCGCAGTCCTGCGAGGCACACTGAATACGCCTGTCATGTATTCTACAAATAAAAATCACGAAGTAGTGGACTCTATAGATCTACAGTGATGAGTCTATCCTGTATCATGCGGATGCAAAAGACGCAGGAAATGCGACTGGTGTCTGTACACTGGACGCCAACATCCCAGTCTTCTCCTGCAGGATCTGTTTGACATTGCAATACCGGTATGCAGTGGGTCGACATTGACCTGGTTCCTTTGGAGCATGTCAAAAAGAAGACGAACAGTATGAAGTTCAAATGGTTTTGAACACTCGTACCACCAACTACACTGTATACCACTTTAGGCCCCCGTGTAATATGCCGGCATTTGTTGAGCATTTTCGGTACAATCCGCGAACCCAGCACTTTGGGCTCGTGATGCAGCATTTTGGGGAAAACGGAGCCGTTGTGTATCAAAATTGAGAGAAGAAAAACTTCCCAAACCTGAACGTCACTTCCGCATTCCGTGGGTTAGCTTCTTGTTGAGTAGTTTATGCCATGGCAGACTCGAGAAAGTCTCTTATTGGGTGTGTCTCGGATGACAGTGATGAAGATGAAGATACTGTACATGTAGAGAGCGATTCTTGCAAAAAAAGTGAGCATTTTCCGAGCAATGCCGGCCGTCAATGCCGGCGAGCCACATGCTGTTGAGATCTCAAGGAAACCGAAAACGTGTCGTTTGTTGCTGAGCCGGCAGCCCAGCACTCATGGAAGGTTTCCCTGCGACACACACACACGCAGTCAATGGACACACGTTAGTGTAGACATGATAGAATTATTTTAAATATACTACAGAGAGTGTATACAATGTACATGTACATGTAGACAAGAGTACATGTCATGTACATCGTTGTTTCATGTACCGGTAGATCTACTCTTGATGTAGAGCATAGCCTAGGTCATGTACAAGTACAGGTGGAATCTTGATAATTCGAACCTCAAAATGCCAGTATAAAACTTCTAATTATCCGGACTGGACTCATATGGAGAGCCAAGGTTTAATTTATACAAAAGAGAAAGACCAAGGAACTACAAGTACAAGTAAGTTACGCTATACTGTCCACTAACACCACCAGTTACTAAACAATCAGCTCATGCGATAACATTGCACGACACTGACCGACGGTACTGACGTTCTACAACTAACTGGCTAACAGCTCTAGCACATCTTGGATGCGCACTCCAACAGCCTTCCAGCTTGGACGGTTCTAATACATGTAGTTATAGAAATAACATAAGGAGGGGAAGGTGAGCGCAACCAAGACAAGCACGAGCTGAAAGTCTCAGCTATGAGTGTGAAGGATGTTGGCGGATGTTCATGCATGTCGATGACGATACTGGCAAGACCATTGGACAATGCGGTCAAACCACGATTCAAGAACGCAAAGCAACATTCCACACAACTTGTGTGGCTCAAAATATGCGAAGATCAATAAAAGGGGGAAGCTATGCGAACAAGAATCATGAAAAACCGAACGCCTCAGTAAAACAGCACTGTACTTCGACTATGACAATTTAGATGGACAATAAGCAGCGGTAACAAGCAGCAGTTTCACACGACGATCGTTTCGCCGTATACTCTAGTAGATAAAGCCGGCTCATCAGGTGTGCAGGAATGGACTCAGATGGAGATGTGCTAGAGCTGTTTGCCAGTTAGTTGTAGAACGTCAGTACCGTCGGTCAGTGTCGTGCAATGTTATCGCATGAGCTGATTGTTTAGTAACTGGTGGTGTTAGTGGACACTGGACAGTATAGCGTAACTTGTACAGTCCGTATCGCCTATAAGGTTGGCGGCTATAGTAATAT